ATTTTCGTTTTAATTGATCAATTTGTTGATGTTGTTGTTTTTGTGTGACAGACATCGCAGGATTCCTGATCCTTATCCCTCAATATCGTTCGTTTGAGTGCACTAGTTTCGGCCTCCATGGCCAGCCAAGGTCGGCTGCCAGTCAGCTGATAATCGAGTTGTCGTTACTCTGGGTATAAAGGGACTCTATCATAGTGATTCTCCATTATATCGAATTGGATCCAAACAATATCATTGGCATAACCTCTTTCAATGCTACCAATGCGGAAAAATCGAGAGATATCGCAGATTTTCTGTGACGTTGCACCGTTGCCTACGGGTTGCACTAATAGCTAAAACCACCCAAAATACCGGCAACGGTCTCGTTTTAGTCGTTTTGCATCATCTCTAAGTTTATTTATTACAACGACATGCATTAGCTATAGCTAATAGCTTTTGGCATGGGCTTGAGCTCTGACAAGCATCATTGCATTGGGCATCTTTGTGGCAATCTTTGGTACCGGGATGCCGGGAATATTAATGAAAGAGACTCTGGGAAGCTCTATTAGTAGATTCTGCGAGGAGATTATTGTTATTGTATACTGATCATTTGTCGTCAAAACTAATGGATTCCTCTACCTCCACAACTTCTACCTCTGCTGCTGTTCTCTCATACATTCTTTTCATAGATTCCTGTCTTAGCCTTTTTGTTACCTGAGAAAGTTTTGCGCAACGAAATGGCCAGGTAAAATGCCCTTAAAATTTTGAATCAAGTCACTCTGATTTTGCTTGTGGATATCTATCTTTATGCATATTCAAGCAAAACCTGATAATGACAACTTAGATTCTTATGAGCTAAGATTTTTCCTACTATATTCTAATTGACATCATGCCAAGCACAAGCAAAGTAGCTTTCTGAGGCACTTTAAGCAATCAGTACAAGCGCTAAGTTGAACTCTAGTCAGTTGTATTGCAGTTGTTTACTTTCTACTGCATGTGCAATGTTTGTTTTTGTACCTGCAAAAAACAACATCATCATTGTCAATCAATAATGAGCACTAGATATCAGATGATGATAAAACAGTCACGCTTGCAACTAGAAAAAAATAACTGTGCACATATCTGATGCAAGTCCTAAGTACTCAAGTCAGTTCATTATTGAGTTATTCTGTAAGCCCTTTTTGTAGAGCATCAATTATCATCAACATTCACCGCAATAAGGTCAAAGAATACTTACTACTATCATAGTCAGCGTCTCTTGCATTTGCCACAATTTCAAATTTGAGATCCTGATCTGCTATTTAAACACTGAATGCTGATTTTATCCTCTAGATTCTGGCTAGGAATCAACACAGGGCTTTGAGCGGGCACTATTCATTCCAAATTTTAAGTAGCTATACAAAGTGAGGATAGGTTGCAATTAACATTACTTAGTAATGATGCTCACATAACTAGGTCAGATAGCAGATCATTTGCGGCTTATATGCCACAGAAATAGCAGCCATCCCTCACATTGATGAAGGCTGATGAATGTAATTTTTTCGTCAAAAAATATTTTCAATTCCTGAACAAAAAATCCCCGGAATGGAACAAAGACTGCAACAGCTACTCTCTGATCAGATCCGTGGCATGTACCTACAGAGCAACAAGTATATTGGCCAAAAAAAGAAAAAGAAAGCCTAGTTGCGTAATTTTCACAGTGGACAGAAAAAATTATGATTTCTTTTGCATCTGTATGGAGTATCCCTTGGGTTAATTGGATTGCATTCTGCAAAAAGGAACCACTAGCATTGCAATGTTGCTAAGATTGTGCAACTTCTTTTGTCTTGGAGGAAGACCCCGATTATCCATTAATAGTTACTATTTTACTCGCTAAAAAATGTAAATGTAAGACAAAAATTACCATCTAAATTTCATAGTTTTTCACGATTTCCGCAACTTTATTGCAAAAGATGAAGTTGCACAATCTTAGCATCATTGCAATGCTAGTGGTCCCTTTTTGCAAAATGCAATCCAATTGTGACTTAAAGTGCAAGGCCAGCTGAATTATGTATTTGATCTTCCGTTTTTCATCAAAATCAGTGTTGTACCTATATCTCTGTTAATATTTTATAAAAATTTGCATTACTAGGAAAGTCATAAACATTTGAAATAAAAAAAGTCAGAGGTTGGCAACAGATAGCTAACTCTGGCTTAATTTATTTGCGTTTTTCTTACAATCGCAATTGCATTTTCGACCACAATATCAGAAAGCTCTTGGCTAGTCAATCTTTGGCCTTTTTTGGCCCCCAGGCCTTGTCTCCAGGGTTGCTTAACAGGATTTGTCCCAGAGAAAACCTCTTTTACTAAGTCGGGAAAAATATTGAGTTAATCAATATTTTTCCTTGAACCAAGTAGGTATGGTCCTTGTACCCTGAAGACCAGCTGAGAGAGGAAGAAGTGAAAGCAAATTGTGCTGTACCTATTTTGTTGTTTATTCGATTGTTCATGTTTCTTTAGTTAAAATAATTTGTCTAATTATTGATTTTGTTCAATTATTATCTGAGCCTGGTTTAATGCTCGATTTTTACCAATTTATCTTCCCCTGCCTTGCCATTTGAACTTGGGACAAATTCTATGAAAACGTCCCGTGGAGACAAGGCCACAGTGGTACATATGCTTTTCTCAACTTTTGTCTTTCTCTCTTTCAGTCCTTTTTTTTCATGTGCAATTAAGGTCATAATTTAACATTGCGTTTTTGACCCTTTTTCACCTTTGAAATAAACGGATAGTAACGAAAGAATCTTTTGTAAAGTGAGATCTTGAAGAGTGATTCAAATAGGTAATAAACATAAAATTCAAATACTAGACTCTGATTAATAAATCTTTTAAAAAAATTTCCAAGAAAATTTACCGGATTCTGCTAATTGTGTGCAAATTTCTGTCAGGCAACGAGAATGGCGCAAATTAGTGAAAAAACTCCGCCGGAAACGCATAAGAGCATCCAAAGCCAGGAAAAGAGATTTGATTCAGCAAAAAGGTATACAATCAATGTTTTTCCTATATTCCTGTTTCTTTGAGTATCGAAGTTATACCTGGGCTGTAGCAGATTTAGAACCATTGTACTAACATGACCAATCTCTACAGGGTAATTCCACGCCTAGGTAGTCCAGGGGGTATTAGTTTTTTTTTCCTTCAAATGACCCAACAATATTTATTTTTGGACTCCTTAATACTTCTAGTTTTTGGAAATATATGGGGTTTACCTCCGTTTTGTTTTTTTTTCTCGCAATTTTTAAGTGTTTTGTAACCCTGTCGCTCAGCCTCATCCTACTGTATGAAGAGTGGCAGTTTGGCAGCACTATTTTCTGATGTTACCATCAAAACCAAGTTTGAGTTTATGTTCCCATCTGTCAAGAAACAGATAACATGCTGCAAAGTTTCAACTTTTAAAAGTAGGTAATCACTATTTATCATATGTAACTTTTAAAACTTACAATGTACTGCTGGTCACATCTGTATCACAAAACAGGGGTTTTTCAATGTAACATGTAACTATTTTAATTCATGTCGCATTTTTGAGGTAACAATTTTTTCCCTACATTTTTAACTCAAGTGCAACTTCAGAGTATTTTTTCCCAATTTTAATCGCAACAATTAATGGGTAAAAATGTGTTATGGGTACGACCAATGAGAAGACGCTTCCATTAGGTATACAGATGTCGTCTCACTTCTCACCATTTTTTTATGCTCATCACAAGACATACACTCACATGCATAGTTAGAGGTTATGTTTACGTCTAATGAGAAAGAGATAGACAACATTTCTGCCATATTTCAGTATTTCAAAGTAAATGCACCTTATCTAAAAAGATTTTATTTCAAATATGATTCGTTAAACTTTCCCCAATTTGATTGAAACATTTTCATTTTATTATAGATAGGATCTTAAGCTAAAGCCTCTTACAAGAAATGCAGTTTCTTTTATTTTCATTTTACTATAGATAGGATCTTAAGCTACATCCTCTTACAAGAAATGCAGTTTCTTTATCTAAGAAGACACAAAATTATCTAGAAGTCATTGGTACTGACACTGAATGTGACTTGCGTCTTGCCGGTAATGAAAAATAAGTGGTATTCTAAAGGAAAAGAGCATTAAATCGAAACATATTGTCAGGAGTTGAGGCGCATATCCTTGAGCTAGGCGGAGGTATTACCCACCACCAAAAAAAAAAAAAAAAATAAATAACAAATATTCTACCCAAGACACTGAATTCCTCGTATTTTCTTACTACAGGATAACATAGAGAAAAATTTAGTTTTGGCATGTTCAATATGCGTCCACTTGCTGATTGATTTATTGCTTAGGATTGCCTACAATAAGAGGATGAGAAGAAAATTAAGTTTTTTAACTTTTCAACTTTCTCAGAATTGATGGACCTCAGAAAGACACTTTGTCACACCTGTAACGCTAACTTTCCCATTTTTCGAGGAAAGAACAGAAGCAAATTGAAAACAGATCATCAGCAGTTGAAGCAATAACCCTCCTCTCTAATATATAGTTTAATAAAATTTTTACATTCATAAAATTCACAGAGTTTCTGCTTTACATTCACTGAGGTAAAACTCACTTCCAATGTTCGAAACTCTTTTTTGAGTTTCAGGAGCCATGTGGCGCATCAAGCTCGATTTTCAGGAGCCATTGAAGATTTTCAGGGGGCAGATTGACTTTTTGCCCATATATCACGGCGCATTCAGTGAAAAGTTAGACGCAAGATGTTTTAGTAACAGAACTAGTATACCTGTAAATTGGGAAAAATTTCGAAAAATCACCAAACGGAAAAATTGGTATTTTTGTTTTTTTTTTTTTGGGGGGAGGGGGGCAATTTTTAGGGGCCGCGCTGGCGCAGTCTTCATTTTTTAGGCGCATTTGGCGCGTTGGCACCTGTGAGTTTCGAACACTGCTCACTTCCAAAGGAGGGCCTTTTTGGCCCCACCTTAAATCTGGCAATTTATGCGGGTTTTCCAAGTTGACTCAATTTAGTTTATGGAAATAATCATGATTTGGTCCATAGGCCACTGGATATGTGTTAAGCGGTTGCCTGAACAGACGTCTGCAGGCATATTTGAGCGAAAATGCGTGTTTTTCTATCACTCCGAGGCCTTTTTGACACCGAGCGCATCGTCTAACTAAAACGAGCTTTTGATGTGTCATCAAGGAGGCTTTAGGACACATTTTAATCTTGGTTTGTTTTTAGTTAGATGATGCGCTCATAGTTAAAAAAAAAAAAAAAAAAAACTTTTTCAAAAGTCGATTTATAAGGGACGTCCGCAAAATTCTTAGGGAATTACGTCATTTGGTTTTTTTTGGCTACAATTAAAGCAAATCTCCTTGTAAGAGTTTAACAAGGCTAGATACAAGTGACACAAAGGTAACACAGAGTAACATTCAACACCGACATTTTCGACTGTGTAAATAGTTACTTATAGCAAAATGTAGTCAAATTTTGTATCATTGGAAAATTTAGGATCATAATCCAAGCATTTTGTACCCTGAACATGGCAGATTAGAATTTTCATACGCTCACGTTAACACGTTACACTTTTACGTTCATTTCACACCAAAAGACAACTTTATGGAGGGTCAGACATTTGATTTTCGAAAAGTCGAAAAATTAGACCACCTTAATACCCAGCCCCCTACCCTATCCATCATCCCCTTAAACGAAGGCTCAGCTTCTTTCATAGACATGTCACAGTTGAAAAAAAATAAAAATTTTAGACTAGGTATCAAATTCATAAGCCAACTCATTCAAAGCCCTCTGAAGTTGATGTTCACCAGCTTTCATTTTTCTTTTTTTGTTTTTTTAATTTTTCAGAGCAAGAGGAAATGGAGAATCTACCCAGCTATAAAGCCTGGCTATCTGAAAAAACAGCATTAGAAATATTTCAGCGGGAGGAGCATGAACGGCAGCGGATCGATACTCACAGAAAATGGCAAGAAGCTGAGGAAGAGGCGCAAGCTTACTGGCTAGAAAATCAAAAACGTATTGCTCAAGCCAAAGCTGAAAAATTTAAACAGGAGGTAGGTATTGCTAGTTTGATTAATAATGAAGAGTTCTCTTTGTTAAGTTTACCTTATGAGTTGTGGAATGTTCTGGGAGCAGTTTTCTCTGTACGTGAAAAGTTAGCATCAAGTTTATAGGGACAGCATAATGGGTCAGTTACGCTAATCACAGAATCGTGTTGCGGTGATTTCAGTGACCATATCAACCAAAGATATTAAGATCTGTCAAGTGCCTATTTTCCACATCCACATGGCTCGTGAGGCCTGGAAAAGTGCTTGATATTGAAATTATTTTTCAAGGCCTTAAAAGTGCTTGATTTCTCGGGAGGTTGCTTGAAAAGTACTGGAAAACTCTTCCCTAATTTTCAATGGTTAATTGGGTGGTTATTTTTTTTTGACTTTCCTTAAATCAAAGGTTTGATCCCCTAAAAACTTGTCCTTCGGCGTGATATGAACTTACAAAAAATTTCAGACGGATCGTATTGTCCTAAGTGGTGCCGCAGTGGCCGACAAGTCACCGAGCAGGAACTTCAAAATTTTATAAATCACCCTCTTCCTTCATATCGCAACTTTTTCCCTCCTTAAATTGTTGCAATGGCTTTGAAATTTTTTGAAGCAACACACTTTTTAGGGTACTTTACAGAAAAATAACACAATTTACTTCATCACTTTTAAAACGCCCCTTTCTCCCTTCGAAGTGGCACCACATCAGGCTATTTCGCCGATTTTTCGTACCCTTCTCTGGCACGGTTTGCTTGTACGAGTTTAAACTTTTCGACGAGTCAAAAGCAAAAACTCTTCAGATTCTTGGAGTGTGGTGTCTGCCGAGTCATTGAAGCAAAAAAAAAAAAAAAAAATGAAAAAAAAACACATTCTGTTGAAATATTGGAAAACAACCTTGATTTAAAAGTATTTTGGGACTAAAATAGGCAAATTACTGGTAGTATGTCCCGTTACGTTACCAGAAAAAAAATTTCTCGATAGTCATAATGCCTGGATTTCTTAAATCTGATTATTCGAAGTACTCGAACACTAATACCACCGTTTTCAAGCATTCTCTGCATTTGGCAGCAACAAACCTCCCAAACAACATAGAAGTGCTGATTTGTGGATGAAGTGAAGTTCTACAATATGGGGAGAAAACTGTGCGCTCAGGAAAATATTATGAAAATGAGCCTGAAAATTCTTTAAAAAATGCTTGAGAAGTGCTTGATTTTTTAATCTTGAGGCTGCATCCAATATCAATGAAGATAATTGCCCTTCAAAAAACATAGTCGTATTTTGTTCGACGAAACAATTTGGAACATCTCGTAACAACCGAATTTTGTTCGGATGTTTCTTATGTTAAGGGACGTGGTCTATTTTTATTCGTTTTTTTATTTTGCACAATTTGGCAACAGTTTTGGAACATTGTTTCGAAACAATCAGAACTTCCTCCAAGCTTGTTTCGGTGAAGTTGAAACAGGATTTCTAACCTCATTTTTGGCAACTCCACTCTCATTGGCTGCGAAAAAAAGTGACGCAAATAACAAAAACAGAAAACATGTTTTGTCGAACAAAGTACGACTCATGTTGTATGACACCATCCACCGTGGTGGTGCATACCATAGTTTCATCCACCTTGGTTCCATCTGCATTTTAAGTGGAGCAAATGCTAATTGATGGATCAAAGGCGAAAGACATCCTGGTATGTATTTACCATGGATGATGTTGTGCACTGTGATTTTCAGAGTGTGATATCTCTATCAATATCAGGTGTAGAAACTATGCATTTGGATCGATCTTATCATTTTTGCTGATCTAGAAGCTTCGAACATCAAAAATAATTCTGTCACTTGTGCAACTGTCCCATCCATCATGGGTTACAAATAAATGTTAATACCCTTTATTTCATAAAAAGTCCGCACTGTCGTCAATTGCGCAGCCATATATCTATTTATGCAAGATACCCAAATGAATTTCTCTTCAGAAACTTTTCTGAACATTGAAAATCGTGTTCTTCCCGATAAAATTGGAAATGCCCGATTGGGGTAATTTTTGTCTGGACAGCTGACAAATTCTCTTAAAAATTATGAAAGTATAACTTGACTGAAGATATTTTGAGTACTTTCAATTTTGTAAACAAAATAATTTAATGTAATATTCGGTGAAAAAAGTATTCGAGATTTTCGGAGGTCATGGGGAAAAGAACAGGAAAAAACGGGCGCTCGCGGAGCGTCTGTTCGGGGAGGGGGGAGGCGCAGCCCCGCTCCAAGCCTTCCTGGGCGCATGTAGTTGTTTCTTCCTTTCAATTAACCCTCGCATCCACCGCAGGAAGCAAGTGTATTTCCCGAGATGTGAGTGGTGCAGTCACAGAATCATATGTCCGAAAGCCATTGTGCTTAATGAATGAGTTTTCTAGATACGAGGGTCATCCAAAAAGTAAGTTCACCCCTTTCATATCTCCGAAACTAAGAGAGATAAATTAAATCGGTAAATAAGAACTTCTTACTTATATCCTCAGCTCTCCATAGGTACCAAGATTTTTAAATTTGGACCACTGGTTGCCGAGATATTTGATTTTTACGTGAACAACTCCCGACCAGTTCCGTCCACCAAACGACGCGCTACGATTCCCGTCACGCTACCTGAAATGCTTGCGTTCCCCACACATCTACGTAGGAATAACCAACTCAAATATTTTAAGATTAGCTTTAAAACAATCTTACCTAATATTTCGACTTAATTTCCGTTCCTATTGATGCATTTTTTATAGCGTTTCTGAAGCTTCTTAATGCCGTTCTCAAAGAACACTTTTGGTTGACTCTTGAACCAGCCTGCTTCCATCACCTGCTGATCGTTCTCGAAGTGCTGGACACCTACGTGCTTCTTGTATTGCGGAAAAAGATGATAGTCACTCGGAGCAAGGTCTGGAGAGTATGGAGGATGAAGTTACACCTCCCATGCAAATTTGTCCAAAAAATTTTGGGTCTATTTCGCCGTGTGAGGTCTGGCATTATCGTGAAGGAACAGGGGACCACGAGACAAGAGACCCGGTCGCTTGTTTTTTATGTCAATCGCAACGAATTCAATATTCCACAATACCGTGGTACATTGATTGTACACCCTTTCTCCAAATATTGGACGAGAAGTACCCCTTGAGAGTCCCAGAAGACAAAAGCGACGCGACAGCGCGTGGTGCATCTCATATCAGCGCGTCGTTTGGTGGACGGAACTGGCCGGGAGTTGTTCACGTAAAAATCGAATATCTCGGCAACCAGTGGTCTAAATTTAAAAATCTTGGTACCTTTGGAGAGCTGAGGATATAAGTAAGAAGTTCTTTTTTACCGATTTGATTTATCCCTTTTAGTTTCGGAAATATGAAAGGGGTGAACTTACTTTTTGGATGACCCTCGTATTTCCTTTCCTTGACCCTCTGTGGTACGACCAGTTCGTCCAAAATCTTCCTCCCCCTGACCCTCTGTGCAACGAATAGTTTGTCGAAAAAATTTCTCCTCTTGACCCGTTGTACGCCCCGTTCCGCCCGGCCGCGGCTCCCCTCATGCCGCGCTCATGCTCTCCTCGTCTGAAACTTTCAAAGCTCGCCAGTTTTAAACGGCTCTGCCGATTTTGTTCAAATTCAATACCAAGCTAGTCTTAAGGGAGGACTACCACCCATAAAAACTAAACATATTCTGAATCTGGAAGTTATTCGGAACAACATATCAAGAAATTGCGTTGATATATTTTGATATATTTTTTTAATCTACATTTGAAGATGCGTACATGGAATAAATCGAATTTTTGGCATCATCAACGGAAGACCGGACTGAGAGGCCCTTAATTTAAGAATTTAAAATGATCAACATAGTTTTTGTATAGACAAACATACCTTATACCTAAATATTCTACCTTGTTCCGTTCTGAGTAGGGTAATATCAGTTATCACCCGTCATAACACATGATGCCCGCTGCTGGATCTCCGCTAATTAGCTACGTTTATGCGAGGCTCGAAACCGAGGTTTCACGAAACCCGAGTTTGTAATGCAAGTTTTCGCCGTCAGGTTTATGCGGGCGCTGTAACCCGACTTTCGCGGGAAATCAAACTTTCCGATTCTGGCGCTGTCTATGCGCATATTTTCGATTGAACTTGAATTTCATGCGTTGGCGCCATTTTCACAAGCTATACTTAATTTTTTCACTATGAATTGATTCAATAAAATTATTATTACTCTTTTAACCCGTGTATGTTCCACAATTTTTCCGCAATATATAAGCGGAGGCTTCATCTTCACTAGAAAAGCCTTTACTGACTTTCTGAGCAACAGTTGGAAAAATGACAGTGGATTTTTAATCATTTTACGTTCATATTTAAAAATTGAATGAATACCTAAGTAATCTCAACAACCCTTCAAATCATGCTCGAGCTTATATTCTGAGTTCAGAAAAGTTGCCATAGGTAATTTTAGTGATGTTAAAAATAATTGTAGCAGGCGCAGAAATTCATCATATTGTTTATTGAGCTTCTAATGATCTAACAATAGGTAGATATAGGCATTGAAAGTGTAGGAGTGCGAATCCAGTAAAGCACCGCACCTTCACTCCATGGTGTCGTAAAGATTGTATGTCTGCCATTATTGTAGTGAAACAAATAACTAATCGGGAATACTTATGGGAATCGCTCCTTCAAAATATGATCAAAATGTTATGTTCGATGAGATGAAAATGAATCAACGCACTTTACGGAATTATAGATTTATTCATCTTTAATCACGAACAAGCCATTCCGGCAGCAGCTGATAACAGATAACAGATAACCTCTCTTGGATCACCTTCACCCTGCGCATGCGCACTATCCTCTCAGGTGTGGCATTACAGTCATTGCCAACCTGACTGCACTAATACTATATTTCACTATTCCAACACAAAATAAGCGGATATTGATAGGTCAACAATGTATCGCTGAAGCAGAAGCGTCTAAATCCTCTTGAGGCAACGGACGGTGACAATCTCAACAAACTGATGACGCTTCACAAATT